TTTCTTTTTTAATTACTCCTTACTATTTTCTGCAATGTTCCTTACACATTTGTGAAATGTTGCCAAATCTCCAGTACCACTACTGTGTCATTCCTAACAAATCAATATACCGTTGATATCTAAAAATTATCATTTTGAATTGTCTACAAATCCTTTCAATTTAGACTTTTGATGAATAGTTTAATTACTAATGACTGTGTATTAGATCATATTTGCATCTCAAAATGAATGAGCCATACATAATGCATAGATTTCTGGAAAATTGTGTTGTTGCTGTAAAAAATTGAACTGTGAAGTTTGGAAGTTCAAATGTTGAAACAATAGTGAAGAATTTCTCATATTTTCAAGATGTTTCTGTTCATAGGGTTGTCATTTGAATTCACTGTTTGGGACAATTGGTTGTAGGATTCCTGCTCCTCTTGGTAATATCATCACCTCATTTCTTTGTGCCATTTTTAAAAAGATGCTGTATTCTTATAAACTTTGCCATTTAACTACACAAAATCATACCTTTTCCCTGGTAATATTGAGGAATGCTTCTGTATGCATATCATCTTGTATAAGTAAGATGCGGTGCAGGAAAAAGCAAACAAAAAACTTGTTACAAAGAACTCTTTATTGGGCACATAGGAACTATTAAACTCACATTGGACTTCTCAGAAAAGGATTGGATTTGAATTCTGGAAAACTTCTGTCTCTTCTGGAAACATACATATAAAGTAGCAGTATTGTAGACAGTGATAACTGACAACTAAGACTAAAATTGTTGACAATTTCTTGATTTGCCTGGTTAGCTTATGTATAGAAGTCATTAACTATTTATAAAATGCATTATGAATTGAATTCCTTCAAACTGTTGTAGTGTGTGTGACATTTTCTAGCACAAAGTCTCAGGCTTACATTCGGCTACCTGTAAATGTATACTCAGTAAAGATTTGCAAAGTTGAGAGCCTAATGCACTTTTATTCTTTTATTTTGGTTACATTAAATTTCTCTTGCCATTCCTAATGACATTCAGCTTCATAAAAAGTTCTTAGAAAGATTATTAGAGTTATTATTTTAAAGACAAATGAGACTACTGTGTTGATATTTTAGATAGATGCTAAGAGAACAAATAGGCACTTTAGTTCAAAGACTTGATCTTCTCTGTGATCAATTCATTTTGGAATGAAGTTATGATCAAAAGTAGTATCAAATTATTTATTGATGAATATTGTACAGTTGCTTCTAATTGTAGGCAAAAAGCTTAGTAGTTTTATAAAGCTTCTTTTATTATTGATAATGTGACAAAAAAGGTCTGTGACAATACACATTAGCTGTACTAAGAATGATGTAACTATATTGCACTAAATAGTTGTACAATGAAATCTAAATATAAGACAGACTTCTAGCACAGCTTGCCGTGTCTGATTCATATTATATATTTTCAAACAGATGTTATTTTATAGAACCAACTCTAGGTTTTAAAACCTGCATGCTTGGAGTTGGCCTATTTTCCAGTCCAGAATTTTATTCATTATGATAGCCTGCTGATGACTGCATGATAAGTACAGCTAAAGGAAGCAGGAAGAAGGGTCAAAGTCAAAAGAGGATGAACTTACCAATCTATCTCTGATGTTTTCTTTTTTATCTTTCTGGTTATCTCTTCTGACCCATACAAACATTAGACTGCAAGAAAGTACAATTAGGTTTTCCTAGAGTGTTTAGCTGATCTTCTGTGTCAGCGGTCCCCAATCTTTTGGGCACCAGGAACCAGTTCCATGGAAAACAATTTTCCCATGGATCGGGGAGATCATGGTTTTGACTGCTACTTAGATCCTATGCATGTGCAGATGAAGTTTCACTGGTTTCTAACCTGCCATGGACCAGTAGTGGACCATGGACTGGGATTTGAGGACCTCTGTTCTATGTAAAGATTTTGAATTTACAACAAAGGATATTTGAATTTTGAGGGGTTCTTTGACCCTAAGAATCACCAACTGCCTACCCTGCCTCTAAAGAGTCATCTTTCATATGATGTAGAGTATTACTGGAAACCCTTGAATTCATGGAAGTGTAATTATTTGTTGCACTTCTAGAGTATAGTTAAGAGATATACAAAATAATACAAAATAACAATTTTATTTGTTACAGATTCTTATGGTATGTACAGAAAGTGTTGGAGAAAAGAAAAAAAGAATAAGCCTAGCATTATTATTGTCTTCATCAGTATATCATTCTATAGAGCTGAGACTGGATAGGAGAAGTCACAGGACTTTAAATCATTACCATATTGTATCTTCTAAGGAGCTGAATTGGTCATATGTTGCTTATGGGGAGAGGAAGATCTGTTTGGATGGATGGATGGATTGTTTGGGGTTGTTGTAGGCCTAAAAGAATACGCATAGTTTGCGCAGTAGCTTAGGTTTGCTGTTGAATTGCTAGAATTACATCAGTATATATTATATCTATTGGGAGTTGTTTGCCCAAGGATGACTAAATTGTTAGACATTAGCAGTATAAAGTAGGAAGCCTTAAATAGAAAAGAAGGATTGGATCATGACTAAGATGCGTTTGTAACTTCATTCTTTTTTTATATAAATCAAACCCAAAATTAGCTATCATAATTGAGCATTCTATCTCAATTTGTTGGCTTTTTAGAAAAAAAAATAGAAAAACAAAATCAATCTCCATATGAAATTCTTGCATACTGCAGTCCCCCATTGTGATGAAATGAATAATTTAAGCAGGGACTGTGATACCAGAGTTGCTTTAAAGGTTCCCACTTCTTTTAATGCTGTAAAGGCTATTTTAACTTTATTAATGTCAGATTGTTCTTCCTGATATATACACATAATAAATAATAGTAGAAGTAGTAGTAGTAGTAGTAGCAGCAGCAGCAGCAACAGCTTAAAATGTATTTTCTATTAAGTAGCAGTTGTGACACACTGAAAAAGATATTTTCAAAAGTATTTTGCATCTTACCTCTAAGTAAAATGAGGGATTTGATTTAACTAGTATTGTATTTGGTTTCTCTGTTTGCTAGTTTATGATATCTCAATATTTTGGGACTGGTGGATCCATTTCACAATTTTAAAAAATGTAAAAGCAAATAATGTAACTGAATGTTTGGCAGTTCACAAAATGGCTGCTAAAATAGCATGACCTCAGGCAGAAACATCATTTTCTAAAAGGCAAATTAGCATTTTGTTCTCTACCATCCTTTTTATTTATTCCCACCCTCACCAACCAACTATTAATCTTTAGCTTTCCTTTATCTTTTTTGCTAAGTAAGTGGACACCTTTATAACCAAAAGACTGGGCTTCAACCACTAATCATTTTTATTTTATAAGAGTAAGAGTGCCTAGGGGCACATAGCAAATTCAGGGGCATTCTTGAAAATATCAATGATTCTGGAGGCTCTTGTGTTTTTAGTATATGCTAGCTTTCTATTAAATTCAATTAAAAATAAAATTCTTTAAAAAGAAGGTTGGTCAGAGTATCACCGTCATGCATCTTTTATGCACAGAACAAAACCAACACTAATTCCTAATATATTTATTACTATCATTTATGTTAGTGCAGTTTACAAAAGGTTTAGGAAATGAAATTATGTATTTAATTTAACTTTCTAAACATCTATATAGTCTTTGTTCAGATTATATAGTTTAGTATAGAAACTAAGGTAAATTCTGTAGACTTTATATAATTGCTGGAGATTGCCAATCTAGCCTTGTAACATCAATCTTTTTGCAACCATGAAAGCAATCAATATCCATTTCTATTGTCTTCAAGTTTGCTTATAAACCAATGGTATTTAATTCAAAAGAACATAAACAAAACCCAGTGAATTATTTAGAGCAAATTAACCAAAAGGAAACCAGTAACACAGCTGACCATACATATTTGGCCATGCATTGCATTATGAGCAAGTAGGTGTCTAATTCTTCATTTTAAATCCACATAAGTTTGCTTGAAAGTCTTCTGTTATCATTTTTCATTGTACATGTTCATCTAATGAGCTTTGGCATAGGATGCTATTGCGTATAACTTTCATTCTTAGTGTTATTATTTCCACTTGTTTTACATGATATTGAAAAAGATAAAACACCAGGTACTGCATTTAGTTTAAATCCAGCATATTCTGTAGTAAAAATTCTTTTCAATCTACTATTCAAAGAAGAATTTCTTTTATTGAACTTATCTCCTATTGAAAAAAGAGCACATTATTTTTTCCCCCTGAACAGCAGCTTTCAGTAATTCTTTGCATTTCAGTTTACATAACTCAATCAAATAAACACCCAATGAAAAGTATATATTTTCCTCGTCCATGTTTTTCCCCCTTTGAGTGTAGGGTAGTGATTTTACTGTGTGGTTCTAATCAATGAGATTCTAGGCTTTGCCATTAGCCTTTAGGCATATAAGAATTTTTACTTTAAAAGTTTTACATCTGATATATGGCAGCTGAAGTAGAACAAATTCTCAAATTTCTTCCCCCTTGCTCTTTTTTATGATTTTCATTTTTGTTATTGGCATATCTGTGCATAATAATTTAATTATTAGACAGAAACTCTTATTTGTAGAATCTGAATTATATGGCATACAATGTAACCATTGTTCTTTTAGTATTGGTAAAATATAGAGGATATTGTAATCAGACACTTTTACTTAGAACAGGATTATATAAAACAATAGGAGATTTTAGGATCGGAGAAAGAAGGAGAATGCAATTTAGTTCATACTAAATCTAATGGGAAAGGTTTTGCATTTCTTTTTTCTGTAAAGATGTGTGGTGCTAGGCTAATTTGATCTAACAATTATAAACTCCTCTAAACTTATTGGTGATTTTTATTACATTTGTCATCGTTTTGTTAAAACAAGTTCTTGAGAAGTTTAGAAATTTGTATTAAGTAGGTATCCATTAGAGGGCTCTCGAGGTTTTGAGTTTAGCAAACTTGATAGTGATAGTTCCAGAGCTTTGCTTGCTCACATTTCTTTGTTTTTCTTTTTTATTTTACAGAAAAGGTCACGGATTGCCTACAGTGACGAGGTGCGGAATGAGCTCCTAGGGGATGATGGGAATTCCTCAGAGATCCAGGTAGGATGCTAATCAAGAAGCCCTAGTGGGTGGCTGGAGGGTGAAGGAGGTCATTGGCACACTGGGCTTCTCAAGCTGCTTCTTAACAGCATTAGTAACAACTCATGTGGAAGTGATACTGTTTAATGCAAAGCTGGGGTCTTAATCAACTTCAAAATGATTCTTGGAGATCTTACAATTTAACCCTTGGATCCCTGTCTGCTATTTTTTTTAAAAAATAAATAAACAAAAAACCAAAATATTTTCTTCTCTTTTCCTTTATTATTTAGTACTTAAGCAGTACCTTGAAACACAATGTTTGCCAACAAACCCAAATACATGTAAAAGGAATGTAAAGTCACATAATACAGCTTTGATAAGAGGGAAATATAATTAAATTAACACTGGAAGGCAAAACAAATGAAAATGGGATTTTAGAATGTGACAGTTTCTTTTGCTCTGTAGTTGCCTCTCTGAATCAGATTTTGTTCTATGTACAAAACTGAAAATATATCAAAACTATATAAGTGTAACTGACTTAGTATAAAATGTTAGCATTTTAAGAAATGTGAAATATTTCTAAATATTTTATTCAGAGTCTCCAATATTACAAGTGTTCAGGAGGCTTTTTATTTATTTTATTTCGTTATTTTGTTTTCATGGGTATGCACTCTTTTACCCAAATATTACTCTGGATAAAGATCTGTAATTTTTTTTTTGCTTCCATACATTATAATATTTTTAAATAAAATTTTGACAACTTCACACATAAGAAAGATTATGTACATTGGAGTAATGTGAATTAGTGAAGATAAAAGTATAATTATTTAATATTGTGAAAAGTTTGCCACTGATCTTAATTTCTGTTCTACTTCCATAATAATTGATCAAAATACTTAGAATGTATTATTTGTTACTTTGATGTACTTTGTCTTTCTCTAAAGTACCTTAAAGAGTTAAAGCAAATGTCTATATATACCGTTTATTATGTATCAAAATAGAATCTATGTGATATAACTCAGACAAAAAAATCAAGTGAATTTTCAACTTTAAAACTGCCTAGAGTTGTGGGGAGTGGGCCAACATATACATTTAATAATTTAATAAATAAAAATATGAAAATTTAGGTGGCTATGCCTTTATTTTATATTCTGTGATCTGTTAACATATATGCTAACATACATAGCTAATGTATTTCAGTAATGGTATTTTTTTTACACATAGCTTGTTTTCTGTTTTCTTTTTAATCATCTGAAAGTGGACATATCTTTCAGAAAAGGTCTTTACTATTTAGCATTGTTCACAGAATTTATTTATTTATTAAATTTATTGATGACCCATCTTAGTACAAGATAAATCTGCCAAAACATTGGTATTACTTTCAAACTTAAATTTTCCACATTGTTTTCATATTATGAACTTTGAAAGGAAAGAAATACCAGTATTTATAAAATTTAAGCCATTGTTTGAAAGAATACATGCTTTGTTTTATTGTCACTTTTAAGAAGAATCAGTCTATCCTGTGGTAAAAACTATGTTTTTTATGTTTTTAATATCAACAATAAATTTAGATATATGTGGAAAAACAAAAGAAATATTGGTAGATAATGCCATGAAATTAACATAGAAAGAAAGTTTACTCTATAGCAAAAAATATAGTGATTTCATTGTCCAAAGTCAGTTAATATTCTATTTAACTATATCAACCTTTTGATTGATATAAAGTATACCATCCATCCATCCATCCATCCATCCATCCATCCTTCCATCCAATCATCGCTAAATTTGTGAAATTTATAATTATAATTTGAACAAAGGTAAACAGATTTAATATACTTTGGCAATAGTGAGAAAAGTTTTCAGTAACTTTCTATAAATTGGTCAGCTCCTTTGGGGTTGGATCTAGAAACTTTAGGAAATTATCTTTCGATATACAGAATTTCCTATTTAATGTTTCTGATTGATGAATGGGACATCAATATAATTTATGCTGGATATTATAAAATTTTTCTGTTCTTGGTATAATCATTTAAGTTTAAAAGTAAAGAATGAAACTCATACTCAGTTTATCAGGAATAACATAAATCAGTGCATAAATAATGGAAAAGCAAGTGTTCTATAAACATAAGCATAAACATTGGGTTCTGACTGACTAGCAGTATTAAAATCTACATCCTACCTGTTACATAGTTAAGTAGAGAGCAAAGAAAGTGAGAACGCTAGAACAAATCTAGATTAGGCATTTCCAGAAATAGACAAAACTATCTGTAATGTATTATTCTGTTCTTTATATAAACACTCTGTAATATATGCAAGCCTATATATTTGATGGCATTGTTTTTCTGTCCATGAAAAAAATGTTAAATTTAATAAATACATAGAATATATCTTCAAATAATTTGTAATAAATTATATGATTGGGAAAATATGGTTGGTAAAATATTAGACATTCTATATTACAGCATTTTGATCCTTGAGAAAAAAATAAGAATCTTGTTTTTCCTAATAGCTTCGTTAGAGATAATTATTGTGTTAATTATTTTTTTACTTAACACTTTTATGTTCTGCCTATCTTCTATGGTACTATAGATACCAGTAGTAAAGATTAACTTGACTTACTACTTTATGTAAAAGCTGTTATTTTCTACATTGCATGTTAGTATTTAAAATAGAAATTTGGATAAATTATACTGAGTTCAGTGGACTGTATATTTTTTGTTCTGAGTGTATCTTGCCTTCTGTTACACTATAATCCAATGAAACACATTTTAAAATATGGAAACAGAATATTTCAGTATTTTTGTTATTTTCCCCCATAATAATATTAGTTATTTATTCAAAAATTATATATAAAAATTATATATATCTTCTTTCTCAGTGGGTTATTTATCTTTGTGTAACTAGACCTCTTGGGATGAGAGACATTTTTTAATAATTAGTTTACTAATTGCAGTGTAAGTGTGTAAGTTGATAAATACAGTACAACAAAGTAGTTCTTACCTAGAGGAAATATTTTGTGATTATATGCTGCCTAATTTTTGATATCCTAATTCTGATAAAGACTTGGATTGCCTATGCATATAGTGTATCAAAACTCTAAAACTCTTCAGATGGGGAAAGAGAAATGGGTCAGCTTAATTCCCCAAGATCTAAAGAAGGTCGGTATCACTTCATATAGCCTGGCAGAGCAGATCATTACCAGTCACAAATCTGTTACATACCGAGAGTATATAGCAAAATAAATAGACTGTCTCATAAATTCAGAAAATTGTGTGTTCGACCCATGATAATGTGTAAAGGGCGTTTAATAGAGTTCAGCATTTATTCGTTATCTGTATGTGGGCAGAGACAGCACTGCCGTTATCAGCTTCTTGGGAGGGAAATTCCGTGGTTCTCCATGTCACGTGATCTGCCTCATAGACCCATGCACTCTCCGTGATGCAGTTTTGATTCTACTCAGAGGAGAAGGCTTAGTCACAAGAGATTTCACTGGTTCAAACCAGCGTAAACCAGATTTTTTTTGTCTACAAAGGAACAGATTACCGCTTGTATCAAGTGGAAGAGGGGAAGTAAAAGAGAAGAATCTTTGTTTCAAAAATATGTTGATTATTATAACCTGAAATTGTGTCTGCCCACATATTTATGCTTTCTGATTGAGTTTGGCAGGGTTAGGATACTGCTTTTAAAAACAGAAGTAGTAGCATGTCATCAAGTGTCATAACTGCTAAATGAGGGAAAAATCTTTTGTTAATTTGAATGAATATCTTTCAGACATCATTTAAAAAAATAAAACCACCCATTATTTAGCTTAGCTGTAAATCCTACTCAGAGCTTAAATTCAGCCATGCAGAACAAACAAGATAGAACTCTCTTTCGCTCTTTCTCTCTCTTTTTGACACCTATTGAAAAAACAAATGTGGAGCACTTTAAAACTTTCATTCACTATGGCAGAGTGTCATGCCCCAAATGGTTTCTATTGCAGAATAGTAGTTTTAAACTTTGCCCCTTAAACTATCATAGCCATTACATGAATGGTGACCTGCAAAAGGAGATGGGGACGAGCATAGTGATGCAGTAAACTTGCAAACCATCTTTTTTGGAAACCAAATGTTTATCTTTTGGGAGAAGCAAAGTGAGGAGAAGCAAGAGAGCGAACCAAAGAGTGATTGCAGAGTGCTTTTAATTTAAGAACAGGTGGGGTTAGATTAGAAAACATGCTTTTTCCATTTTTTTTCTCTTTAGAAAACTAGAGCTATTGAATGCAGCACTCTTCTTAAAAATTAAAATAATGTCTTCGTTTTCATTTGCTTGGCATTATAAATGTTTACATTCTAGATCAACAATGTGAGCAGGAATCATTTAAGTTAGTTTTGTATATCTCTCTGTCTCTCTGTGTGTTTGTGTGTGTGCATGTAGGAAAATGTCCTTCCTAAATTTACACCCTAATTCAAAATTATTTTCCATGTGTATGAATACATTGATAATGGCCAGTTGAAGAAGAAACCTTCTCAGTTATAAAATAACATATTATCAATAAAGAAGCTCTTTCCCTTCCATCATAATTAAAACTTTATGTGTGTGTTGCAAATAGACTGAGTGTATTTATACCTCAGGACAATTACAATAGTATTTAAAATACTATTTTAAACGAAGGTTATTATGCAGTATAGTTGACAAAAACAATTGAAGGGATTCTTCTTTTCCTTAGTTAATTAGAATACACCATTTGAAAGAGCAGAATAGTGAAATGTAATAACTTTTTGAAGTAAATTCTCTTCAAAAGCATAAAGAAGGGTATAGTCAAAATGTCTAATAAAACAGTGTTCCTCAGTTATTTATATTATTTGAATACGTAATAATAATCTACAATATTAAATAGTGTAGACTAAATTTAGGTTAAAATAATACAGTTTAAAATGGCACATAAGCTGCTGTTTTTATAGCCATCAGTTATAGTTATTCTAGCTGATTTAGTAAGATAGATGTATAGGGAGACATAAAAAGGCAGATGTCAGTACTAACAAAATAAAAAAAATGTAGAAATCTTGTATATACAAAATCACTTCAGCTGTACTACCTTAGAAGAGAGGAATAGTAAACTTGTTTTCTCCTTTTTGTATTATAGACTTCTATGAAGTCATTCCCCTTTATTTCATGATAGTGTCTTAGATGTGGTTTAAAAGAGAATTTCACACTATTCTCTTTGTTTAATGTGACAGTATGCGAAAGTGATCTTTATTCGTTCAAAAAACTCTGCATGTAGTCTATGTTTAGGGTCTTTTAATGTGTTTGTCTGTGATTTTTAAATGCTAAACATGTAAACAGATAAATTGTCAATGTTAATTCTGTATCCTGTCACACAACTGATCTTTCTTTCCTGCCATTTCTTTCCTTTTTATCTTTTTCTGTGCATTCATGTTGCAGTTGATAAAATTACGTGAAGAGGTGAGTATTTTGTTGCCTCGCTTTTTCTTTAAAGCTAGCTTTTCATATCTGAATAAATCTTTTTGGTCACTTGCAGAGAAATCTGCAGAACGCATGCATTATATATCTATATATCTATATTTATCTATATCTATATCTCCTTAAAAATGTTCTAGCACTATGTGACTCTTTTCTTTAATAATCATACATTTCATCAGAATCCCTAGGTCATACTTTTAAAATTACAATTCTTTAATAGCACTAAGAAAAAAGATAATTTAAAGGATCTGTAAAAAAAAACAAAAACGCTAGTATTTGATATGTGTTTGAACACTATGTTGAAATCAGATCCTGTAATGATATCTGCACAACAGAAGATACTGTAACAGTAGGGGGAAAAAACCTCTGCTTGAAAGGTACAAGCAATACCTCATTGTGTAGATCTACCGGCATACAAAACAATATGAAAATATTGCATGCACGTATACTGAACTGTAGATGTATGCTCAGTTGTGCCTCCTATATTTATTATTTATTTGTGCATATGCTGTAGTGAATGCAAATTAGGGTCCTTTTTCATTCCAGGGAATGACCAGAAGAGATAACAGTACTTCAAAAGTAATATCAAATCATCAAATGATTATTTCTTGACATTTTCTAGAGTACTTTTTCTTTTTTTAGATTTGTCCTTGGTTTTATTTTTTGCTTTCGCAATTCTCTCCCCCCCCCTCTCTGTCTCTCTCTGTGTGTTTGTGTGTGTGAAGAGAGAGTTTAAATAAAATTTTTACTCCTAGAATTTGGTATAGTAGAAGTTGCTAGGGAACCAGTTTTTTGAGACAGTGGCATAATAACACCTTTCAGTTCTTGGCAAAGAGAGACAGAACAAACTGTGCTTGTTTATTCTTGTGGTATTTGGTGGATGACCTCTGTTATAAACTGCATGTATTTCAAAAAGGTGAGACAGAGAGGGGATGATGCTTGTTCATTGAGAAAAACTGGAGAATAACCAAATGAAGTACAGTACAGAAAAATTATTACTATATAGATTTCCTTAATAAATCAAGATTTTTTCATCAATAGTTTGAATTTCCTGCATCCATGTGAATTATAGATAGTATTTTTCATTATATCTATCATATTCTACCCTTATTAATTAGCATCATCATCATATATGCTTATTTATACAGAATAATGTAATGAAAGTTCAGACTTGTACTAAAAAAACATAGAATTCAGTTTTAATGGTAATAACAAGCACAAAGGAGTCAAATATAAAATAGAAAGGAAGGGAGGTGATGCTAATAGGAAAGCAAATAGTTCCTCAACATACATTTAAGGTTTATTTTAAATTAGAAAGGTCTGAGTGAGTAATATAGTTTTCCAACCAATATAATGTAGTAAGCCAAAGAGTTATTTTCTTTAAAACCATAATAAACAAGACTGGGAACTTTATGTTTTATTCAGTCATTTTATAAATTCTATATCAATATAATTCACTGAGTTCTCAAATTGTATACAAAATACATTCTTAACTCTTGAGATAAATAAATTTAATATTGGATGTTTGTAAAGAAAAAAGTACAGTTGAAGCATTTGAGGACACTAATATATTTAACTTGGTAAACTTTAATTGCTGACTTGTTTCCAGAATATATTGGAATAAATAATTGGAGATTATTCATAATGTAGTTAATTAAATATTAATGATAATACTCATAGAGTATTCCTAATTAGACATATATTAAGAGACTTATCAAAACAGACTAATTTTTCAGGAATTCCAGTAAAATGCAACCTTAATTATTTATTTTTTTTGAGGGTCTACCAAGTATGTTGCATGGATTAAATTTTATTCCTGTTTGCTTAATATGCATATATAATCATTTACATTTTTAATAGAGAAACATTTTAGGAATCATAAGAAGTCTATGGCTGAAAAAGGGATTTCAAGTCAAAATTAAAGAGCAGAAGTTTCACTGCTGCAATTTAATTATGTTTTTGGCTCAAGGATAAGCTGTAAAGATTTTTTTTTTTTACACAGAGTAAAATGTACATTGAAGTCCAAATGATGGCTAGTGCAGTGATGTTTTAAATTAATCAAATAATTAGACATATAGGCATTCTAAATTACAGCTCTCCCAAGGAAGTATTATCTTAAAAGCAATTGTGTACTTTTTCATATTGCTATTAATCAAATGTTCCATTTTCCTTTTATTATAAGGCTTCCTTCAAACACATGCCATACTGTATACAGAATTTTGTAGAGGCTACATTGCTTGATTTTTTTCAACCCTCTGAAATTACGGTTTGAATACAGTCCATGTGGAGTTTCTAAATCTCTAGATGTAGCCCTGTCGCTTTGCAAAACTTCTTCATCTAGCTCGATAGTGAAGCTCTTTAGAAGCTAAAAAGCAGCCGGAACAACCTCACACTATTTCTTATACAAAAGATTAAGAATAATGTGGGAGAATAGATTTGGTGCCGTTAGAAAAGGAATGGAAAATACCCACTGCTGATGAAGTCCATAGCTTTATGACCGTACATAACATCATTTCTGTAATAAACATACAGTAGTTTAATGCAATAATGGTATTAGTAGTAATAATTCAGTTATAAAGTGGAATTAAATGAAAAAGCAATACCGAATAACAAAATATGAGATTCTTCTGTGCTCTTGTTTAGAAAAACAGCGTAGATGACTGCTAACAGGAAAGCTAAGATTCCTTTTGAACATTTTATAAATTTGCTTTTGTCAGTTTTCACTACATCTATTATCCTTGTAATGATATTTATCATTTAATGTTTATATAGTGCATATTAAAATATTTTAGAAATAATTTTCAGTTTCAAACACTTTAGCGATATTCATATAGTTGAACTGACAGTGTTTAATCATTGCAAGCATTTTGCACTGAGCATAGGTGTATTATCTGCAATTCACTTACATTTCATTTTTAAGAGTAGTGATGTTTTTCAAATTTCTCGTCTTCTTGAAAAAAGCATTTATGCAGCTTCGATTTTTCACTTTTGCATAGATTGAGGATCATTTTACAGTAGATATTATTTAAAGAAAATTTGCATTAAAATATTAAAAATGTAAACTCTTCCCACAAATGAATAAAATATTTGATATATTTATAACATATAATATTATGATACATAGAATCAATTATTATGAGGTGCTGTTTTTGTTTGAAGTTATTTAATGATTTGTTAAATTATTTCTTTGTTTTAAAATTCCCCAGGGTACACTGCCTTAATTTCTTCTATTGTGATTAAATTATATTATAAAATATTATAAAATGTGTATTTCTTTCTTCTCTTCCTTCGTCCCGTCTCTGCTTGGATTGCTCATCCCAATATTTTAATTTTTGCCATTTCTCTTAACCTATACACTATGAATTAGACAACTCTATTAATTATTATAGACTGTTATTTTAGCTTTCCTGACCTTCACATTGGACTCTCTCTCTGCTGATCTAAATGCATTGTTTTAATGATTTCTTTAAAAAAAATCAAGGAAAGCTTTGATGTGGCTTTAGCTGCCTCCATCGTCTGGCCACATCTCAGAGATGTGTCACCTGTGCCAGGAGGGAATAGGGAAATCACGTTTTGAATGGTAATGATAACATACTAATCACTTCCTTTCTTTGAAGATAGAAGCGAGATATTCTGTCAGCATCCCTGGCTGCTGGAGCTTGGAGGCACTGGTCTAGGTGTATTAGCTTAAGTGTGCATGTCAATACAGCTTGCATCTCCCAAGATCCATAGGGGCTCATTAGAGCAAGGTAGATCATTTCGGCAGACAGCCACTCAGATAATATGGATAGCACCTACTTTTTAATATTATTATTAGAAAGCATTTCTTCAATTTTTAAATGACATCTGTCAACAAGGCAAAGTTCCAGGAGTTGAGAGGTTGTGTGTGGGTTTTTGGTTTTTTTTTTTTTTGGCCCATGTAGCTAATTCTTTTTTTTTTTTCAGAGTAAAAAAGAGTGACTTAGAAATGTATGCCTGAACTTAGTGGGTAAATGTTGATAAATTGATTAGAAGCACTTCAGAAGCAATATATATTTAAATAAAGTAATATTTTAAAGAAAAATCGGTAGCAATAGTCTTTTTATCTAGGGCTCATCCCAGATCATAAAGTTAAAATTAACCGAATTCTGCAGAGTAATTTAATCTTTTAGACTTAGTAAAAATTGTTCTACATATATTAATATGTAATACTCAATTTATTATATTGCGTCAGTCATTTATTCTTGGCCTTTTACTGCACAGCATAGTCCTGTAAAATATATACACAAAAGAATTCTACCTTTCCATGTGCATGCCATAGATTGCTCAAATAAAAGCTTGTCATCCAAAAGCAGGATTTGCTTCAATAAATTATTCTAGTGAAACAAAGATATGCACTTACAGTAAAACTACAGGGATTCATTAAAATATTATTTTAGCTTTGGTCATATAATGTCTTGTTTTTATTCAGTAGCTTGTACAAATAAGCAAATATTCCCTTTGTATTATGCAAGTATAATATTATAAAAGCATAATTATAAATGATTACATTTCTAATTCTTTCCAACCAGTGCTGTTCTTAAGCTCATACTTTCCTCTTAAAACTTAAAATAAAAACCAGTAACGTATGCAGGGGCAAAGAGGTTTTGGGTGGTGGGGGGGGAGAGAATTAGAGCTGGATTCTTGAATTTTCTTTCCTGTTTTCCTTTTAGAGGGCACATCTGCTCGATAACACAGAGAGGCTGGAAAGGTCATCTCGGAGACTAGAGGCTGGATACCAAATAGCAGTGGAAACTGGTAAGAATTCTGAGAGTGAGCAAATTGTCTTGCTTATGCACAGCAGTCTTCACAACACATGACATTTCAGGGAAACTTCAAAGGCAAAGCAGAGACAGCAGCCCGAGATGTGGTTTACATATTGGGGAGACAATTGGGAGCTTATTTGCGCTTATCTTTTTTCAAGTTAAAAGGCATGACATCTACTGAAAACAGTTCCTGAGGTTTAAAAGTCTACATCTGAAAAGAGATGGAATACTTTGTCTAAATTCTACATTTGTCTTAATATACAGTAACATTTTGTCAGTTTACCCACCTGCAATGATTGTTAATATATACCATGGACTACAGTTGTTTTGCTCCTATACTTTCAGTTATTATATGAAATTAATATTTTTAGGAATGTATAATTTGTAATGAAAGCTACATAATGAATTTTAAAAATTTACTGTTTTAACATTTATAGTATAGGGTATTTTGCTGCTTTTATATAGCAATGAACAAGAGTTATGAAAGGATTACTATTGCTATTACTATTGCTATGTCTTTAGTCAGTAACTTTAAAACATTTTCTGTTTTATGAGCAGTTTTTAAATTGATATACAAAACTTCAACATACGAATCGTTTTTATTCATCTTGGACAGTTCTACATAGTATGTGTATTATGATTTTAAAAGTTAATCCAATTATAGGCATCTAAATTTTCTCCAAATTTCTGAGGTATAACCCATCAAGCAAACTCCATTCTGATTTCATTCTAAAGAGGCCCAAATGAAATTCTGCTTATGGTTGCTTTTTCAATACATAACTTGTGTTGGATTTTGATGTACCATAACATTCATCTTGTTTTCTGTAGGTTTATCATAGTAAGTCATCAAATGTGTTTGATAACCAACATATTTTTCTTATACTTTCCCCCAATGCAGGCTATTAGAACAGAACATTGCTTCCTTATCTATATATAAATTGTTTTTGTGTTATTTTGTATTATGGTAAGAGCCTTTTCTGCATCAATTTTAATAACCAATGGTAATTTATTTTGGTGAGGATATGCTTTCGGTGGGTTTTGGGTTTTGGGTTTTTGCTAATAAAAATGAAATAAGAACATTACTGAATGATTTTTAAATTTTATCCAATGAGATGGGAGTTATTTTGAAGCACTATAATAGTTTCAATAAGCAAATATGCAGTTAAGTTTAAACACTGCTATCTGTCCCATGCAAGTACTGAGTTTTTATTTTAATGGACATTTTGGAATTTCTTTACATGTCTGTTTAATTACTCCCCTAAATGTAAGTTTGGTCTTTGAGCCGATCAGGATTCAGAAGATGGTTTTATAAGTATACATTTGCAAATTCAGTATTACCAAAAAAAAAAAGTACCACCTATATGCCACCTATATGCCAGTTCATAATAAAACACTTAGAAATAAATTACTACCCACTGTCTAAAATTTATTTAGTGCAAGGCATACAGTGTCAGAGAAATCTAGAAATCTAGAAATGCTAGACACAATGCAGTCCTGATAGCCTAGATTGCTAGTTAATTCAGCGCTTGCGCACCTATCTTTGCTGTACCACAAGGGGCAGACTAGTTTTACACCATCTGACTAGTGGCTGGTTGCTTCTGGGCTCCTCTACCAGTCTCACCTTGCCTCGTGTCATGTTGCCTGGTCCAGCCAGGTCCAGCGCTGACTTCTGTTCTCCCACACACACAAACTACGTTTTTCCCGCTGGTGGTACCCATTTATCTATTTGCAATATTGCATACTTTCAAACTGCTGGGTGGGTAAGAGCCAGGGAATGAGCAATGGGAGCTCACTTCATCTTGCAGAGCCAGGCTTGAACCATCGGAGTGCAGATCATTTCTGGCCAGCAGTTCCAGCATTATTAAGCCACTGCACCATCACATCCCCTTCATAAGAGATAAATTACTTTTAGTAGAAAGCAAGCCTTATCCTAAAGCTTTCTTTGGAATCTGACATCTTCTGCCTACTGTTATTAAAAAGGAAATTTGTCAGTAGTGTAACAGAACTGAGTGATTAACTGAGTTAACACAAGACTGTAGTTCATATTTACTAAGATCTTGCCTAACAAGAAGTTCATCTCCTGAATGAATATCAAGGTACAATTTTTTAAAAATGTACCTTGATATTCATAGAGGACAAACTCTAGTCTAGACAAATAAAATGTGCATTTCTAACATGATTTTCTGTTCTCTAGAAAAATAAAAACCATAGTATTTTATAAACACCCATAGCCCTTCAACTGGCCTTCAGAAATAAGTAAAATAAAGGTATGCATAAAATGAAAGGAAAATATCATGATATAATTTATGGCCATATTTTTTTAATTAAGTACTTTAAACAAATATAAAGATGCCAACCCAAATAAGCAGCCAACAATCTTGACCTTACATACATAATTCCTGCACAATTCTCAATTTTATATATAACCCTCAGGAGTTATTAAAAAAACCTGAATCTGGTTTTGTAAACCATTACCATGGAACTGGTATAGGATGAAGGTGTCTTTTTGTATAATTGATTAACATGTATTAGCAATAGCAATAGCACTTAGACTATAATGATTATAGTGGCTTTTCTAAAACAAAATTATATAACAATAGGGAAAAAGATTTCCAAATCACTACTTACACCATAGTTGTCCAAACTTTTGGCTCGCCTGGACCTCATTGAGTGAAAATAAATTGTCTTAGGCCACATATAAAATATATAATATAGTTCATGTATATAAATAAAAAACTAATTATTTTTTAATATTTTTATTATCTTGTGAGGCTATCCAGGGGCACACACAACCTGTGGGTGATGGGTTGTATGAGCCTGGTTTACACAATGGAATTACCTTATCGTTTATTTTGTTGAACTCTCCAGCAAATGTTGTGTCAAGCTCTTAGACAGTGGACCCTTAACAAAAAATAATTCCAGGCAGGAATCTTACAAAGCCTTCTTAACAAGATTTATTAAAGTAAACCAAAGCTCAGCAAGTAAACTATTCTCTATCCTGAATAACTGAGGTTTAATTCATTTTTGCTATCAAGGCAATAACTATTTGACAGTAACATATGGTTGGATTTTATTTTCATATTTTTGTGGGTGGGAGTGACTCTTGTGTCTTTTCTACTGAGAAGTAACAACCTAGATGTACATATAAAAGAGTATGCTATATATCTTCTCTGTAGACATATTTGAGTTACTGTTTCAGATGTTCTTCAGTGACTAGTTCTTTTAAGTCAAGATTTTGAAGAAAGTGGCTTGTTTTAATAATGTTTTATTCTTGCTTAGAGGTGAAGCTCACAGAGCCCCAGCCTAAGGGCAGACTTGTATATTCTTTCTTACTTGTGTCTTTGCATCCAGGTTAGTCAAGATCATTCAGATATTTCATCTCTTTAATCAATATTGGAATGCTGAAATGTTATAACCATTCATTAAATTTGCATAATGCATACATTCAACTCTTTATTGGATATAACATCAAATGTGAAATATAGTTATTGTAAATCTTCTTAGATTATGCTTTTCAGAATTTAGTGGAATGTATTTTATTAACTTTGCAAGAGCACTAAAAGTCCTTTAATTCTACTGAATGTAATTAAAAGGGAAAACTCAAACTAACATAAATATGATTATTAATAAACATTCTTATTTCTTACATTGTATGTTTTAATGTATATTTTATGTGTTCACTCTTATCACTTGTGTATTGGATAAACAACACAAAAAATCGAAGGAAGGAAAGAAGGAAGGAAGGAAGGAAGGAAGGAAGGAAGGAAGGAAGGAAGGAAGGAAGGGAGGGTGGGTGGGTAATAGTTGACTGCATGATTGATGTCAGCCCTTTGGGTAGTCTGTATCAGAAGCACCGACTATGGATTCTAACACTATCTTTATTGTAAGGTCTCGCAAATCTGAATGTAAATCTCTCCCCTCTCACCTTACTGTTCAAGAAATTAGGGAGGGTCCCTTCCGAGATGTTTGCCATGCGCCATTTCTTCTGTGAATTAAGTTGCCTCTTATCTAACTTTTGCTTAATCTGCAATTCTTCCTCCTTCTGCCTCTCAAGAATATTACCATAGACCATTATAGGAAAGAAGGAAATGAGATAAACAAATAAATAAAAATATTTGCAAAAATCATTTGCTACATCTGACCTGTTTTACCTAGCCATGCTTTACCTTTCTAGCCACCTGCACATTGATACATTATCTTCTACTGTTATACTCTCACTTTCTGAGAATTTAGAAAGAAGAATATATACCAACTTATACAGCAATTGCATGCTGTAAATATAAATAATCATGCACCATTATAAAAGCAGCAAAGTACAATGTGCTTTTCTAATTCAGTAGTTTCCTCTGTACAAATACAGTATCACTCTGCATAGGGGAAGTTATTAAATGTTCCCTGCATCAGCATCAAGGGTAGGGCTTTCTACTGAATACTCTTTTGTATGTGATGAAGTAATACTATAAAGGTACTGAGGAATTTCAAAAGGACTCTGAAAGAGGTTCTTGAAATAGTAGGAGGGAATTTTAGCTCTCTTGTACTGTATATCCAGACCAAGTTCTATGTTTAACATTTGGCATAGCTCTGTCAAGGCAAGCAATATTAAAAATGGGGCAGAGGAGTCATGAAAAGGTCTTCCACAATGGTTTTTTTCCAAGATGAAATAAACTTACCAGTGAAAGTGAGCTGAGCCAGTAATTCACCAAGAAGCTATCTCAACAAAAAATTCATGATGAGCAGCTATGAGGGGAACTGTAGTTCCAGCTCAAGGAGGACATTTGGGATAGAGTAAGTAAAATTCTAATGATTTCTGACTGAATGGCTTCCAGTGCAATGAATCAATAATGTTCTATAGAAAATACCAAAATGAAAAAAAATCAGCACATAAAAAACCTTAGTGGCAGAGAATGATATTCAAGAATATAACAAGGAAAATATGTTAATATAATATAATAAAACATGATTTCATCTACCCAGAGTTTGATTTCAGTTTAT